ATTTACAGCGGTTTTAATTAGTGTCCCTGACCCCGCCTCCAACACCATTTGCGACTGCTCTTCTTATCCTTGTCTTGGCCCAAATTGAGTTATTAGATGCTCATTATCGGCCTTTGCCGAGTCTCTCTTTCTGTCTCTCTGTCTCTGTCTCTCTGCGCTTTGCACTTTCCACTTTCCACACTCTACTCTGCAAAAGCCGCTGACATGGAATATAAATTTGCAATGCCCCACATCATCACACCCCCGTTGCAGGAGTCGCCAATAATTGGCTACTAATGGTGCCACATAAAAACTTTTACCGACTGCAATAAAAAATCCCATTGACAAAACTTTTACCCACCAACTACAACAAATAAAAGCTGCGAAAGAAACAACAGCAACGGCATCAGCGGCAGCCACCATCAGGCATTCAACGAAATGAAGAAGAAACAAAAAAAGTAACTAGGAAAAAACAGAATCAATTAACATTTTCATTTTGCGATTTTCCGCTTCAACTTTCCAGCGAAAAATTATTGCATTTTGTCATCTTTGTTGTTTTTCCCCGCAGCAGTTGTTTGGAAGCCAATATGAATGGCTTGAAAGCATATAATAGATGTTTATTTATTGAATGAACGGGAAATGCAATAATTGAGAATCCGCAGTGGATAAATGTCTACCGGATAAGAGAGATTTCCTGATATTATAGGAGTGCTCAACTAATTTGCATGGAATATATCCGTGCAAGATCCAACCAGTAATACTGCAGATAATTCATTGAAACTGATCCCATTGGACGTGCCTCCCGAGGAGGCCTTCTTAATCCCACTTTCCTGCTAATTATTAAGGCTGTTCCATGCCAAAAAGGCAGGCCGCCCTCCCACTCGAGTGCATCTTTATTGTTGTTATTGCTTTCGATGGCCCTTCGAAATTCGAATGCGCATCCGTTGAGGCATGCAACGCGGGGTGGGGGGCGGCGCACCTGCATTATGCCACAGTCGACTCCACTCCAGCCACGCGCTTTATTGCAAACAATTTGCCCTGTTTGTGCCACCGGACAAATGACAAAAAGGACAAATGGCGCAAAATATTTTGCTTTCGCCCCGGTCCGGCTCGGTCCGATCCGGTCCGGGACCTGTCCCCGGATCCCTCTGTCCCTGGCAATCGGAAATGTTGCCAAAGTTCCTCACACACAGACACACTCATATGCCCCAAAGGGACACACATAGACAGACAAAAAGAAAGGAAGAGAGAGAGAGGTAGAAGGAGGGAGGGAGGCCATGCACAATGTATGCACTGAGGCAATGCTTTGGCGGCTTAGCCGCGCCCCACTCCACTCCAATCTACTCCGCTTTGCCTCTGCCCCCCCCCACCAGGCCAACACTTTACACTGTCCGCCTCTCCACTGCTATCAACTACACTCGGAAAAAAGAAACCAACACAAAATCGCCCTAATAAAGTTTTGTATAAAATAAAAAAAAAGGGATAAAGTGCACATCTAAGAATCAATCAATCCTATTCATTGAAATAAGAATAGAAGTCAGAAAAAAATTATTTTTTTTTGCTAGTGTAGTTGTTGGCGTACACTGTCCTACACTGCACTGTCTTTCTGCCTGCAGTGTTTGTTTTAATTTAAATAAATGAGCTTAAGCGCACTCACAGCTCGTGATCCTTTAAGGCTCTACTCTCCTTATTTGCTGCCTTCAGCAGTGCCTTGTCCTTGTCGCTTTCGCCGTTGCCATTGCTTCAGTCATCGCCTTTTGTTGTCCTTATTTAGCTGACGTACGGAGGACACTGGGGCTGTTGCCATTGCCAGGATATGCAAGTGCTAAGCATTTTTAAGTCAAATTGCTTTGCCGAACATTTCGCCATTTGCCTGCACGACTGACCTGACCCAGGCCGTGCTCCCTGGCCCCGCGTTACCCATGCCCCTCGTCCTCATCCGTTTAGCTTAGGACGCCTGCTGTCCGCCACCAGCGACGCGTTGCTGACGTTGTCGCCATCGTCGTCATCGCTCTTTTGTTATACCCAGGACTTTTCGGATCACAAGGGAATATGGTGTTGAAGGAAACGTATAAAAGTCTTGAAAGGAACCAAAAATCGAGTAGTTATAGACCTGCATTGAGGCTATAGCTTGTCGTTTTCGGAAACCATAGAAGTTACAGACCAAATTAGCGATGCAACAGAGGGAAATGCCAAAAGCACCCGGAAAATTTGAGAGTCTCTGGGTACCGGGTATCTTATTGTCGAGCCACTCGACTATAGCGTTTTCCCTTGTTTTTGTGCTTTGTCCTGCCCCTGCTCTTGGTCCTGCTCCTGCTGCTGCTGCTCCTAGTGCTGGTGTGTGTAGCAGGAGAACTTCAAAAGGCTTTTCCGCTGTGTTAGTTCGCTTTGCTGTCGCCTTTTGCTCCCTTCACTTGCGCCCCGCACTCCGACCTCGCTCTGCCACTTGTCGGGCTTCGCTTTCTTCCCGCCGCTCTCAGCCGCTCCGTGCTTTCTACGCTTTCTCTCTGTTAGCCAGCCTGAAGTTTACCTTTGGCTGCAACTGCGCTGATTTGCAGTTTCTTCTTTTCATTTGATGGGCGCAGCTTTTTGTCATGTTTTTTAGTTTATTTTATTTTTTTTTGTTTTTTTCTGTGTGTTTTGTTTGCTCTCCTTTGCTCGCTTTGCGTTCGCTCCTGTTTACACAGCAAATTTATTTATTTTCGCACTGTGGGACGCTCTTAAATATTCCGCCTTTTGAGTGCTAATGCAAATGTTGTCTGCCAGGCGGGTGAGCGGCAATCAGGAGGGAATCGCTTCAGATAAATACTGAAAATTAACTGTATACACCCGGCATAGACTTTTCTCAATAGCTGATCCCCTTTATTGAGCAGCAGCCATTGAGAGAAGTCATTCAATTGGAAAATACCCAACGTTAAAAGTCACTGATTGGCCGTAAGGCGGTGCAACGCTGCAACAGAGCCGTGGAAATGCTTGTTAAATTGCTGCGAAAATTCATAAAACAAACAGGGAGAAAACAGAAACATCAGCAGACGGAATGGCAGTAAGGATGCCATAAAAAATAAGTCAAGAATAAGTCAAGAATGAGTAATCCTGTTGTCGTTGAAGACAAACGAATGACTGGAGCCTGAGCGCCAGGCAAAAGAGCATTTGCTGAGTGAGTGTCCACAGGACAAAGCATAATGAGATTATCACTTGTTCTGTCTCTTTTATTTCCCTACCAAGGACATCGCTTGGGACTTCTCCTTGAATACGAACACGATCAACTTCTCCCAAGTACTGGCCTAAACATGGTCCTAAGATTCTGATCCTTGATAAACATTGCTCACGAAATACGACACTGTACAGAGAAAATAATTACTTAGAGCTGCATTGAATGCTGCTTCGCTTAAGCCCCTCTCTTCCGCTAGTACTTCCTTTGAGGATAACTCTCAACTGAGAGCTTGTTGGAGGAAAGTTTGTGTCGAGTGGAGCTCTTCAGTGGCCCATTAGGACATTGCTATAGAATGCCATTCAAAGTAAAGGAAAAGCGCTCCCTCGGGCAGCAGCCCTAAACTACAAATATCTCCCAGGGCAAATCATTCCACTAAGAAAGATTTGCTAATCCTTGATTCCTAACATTTACGAGTATAGGAGAGATGAGATGCATTTAACAAGTAATCGTTTCGACAAAGTCTTTTGTTTTTATCTGTGGCCGTAATCCATTTGAAAAACGAGACAATAAGCTCTCAAGTGAGCGGTGAAAAAGTACTAAATTGAATAGCCATAAGCTAATCCACTTAGGTGATGCGAGGATTGTTGCCACACCTACGCGGCCCCCCTTACACGGCCCAAGTCCAAGGAGCTGCTGGCCCCCGGCAAGCTGTTCCATCTACAAGTTTAAGTGCATCCCTTCGCTTCGCCCAACCCTAGTGCATTCTGCAACTCTAATTTAATAAGTAAATCACATTTCCGCCTCTTGAATGTCACCGTCTCCAGCTCCTCCAGACAATCTCCTGGCATGATGCTCCGCATCGAAGCTTGCTCCGTGGCGTCCCCGTGCTCGGGGCATCGCATTGACACCTCGTCAAAAGTTTTGCAAGACAGCGCCGGAACGGTGGAGGAGGCGAAGGAGGGGACTTGCTAACTGGTTTAGTGCAAATTTACTATTAGGAGAGCGCTCAATTTCACACTGAAATTAAATTACAGCGCGTCGAAATGTGGCAGGCAGGCGGGATGTAAAAGGGGTGCCCGGGGTGGGGTGGGGCGATCAGAGCTTTGTGGCGGGTTTGGGGGAGCTACAAATGAGCGAACACCTCGTTAGTTTCTGCGCCTTGGAACTTTTTTAATATTTACATTCATATTTTGCACCTCTGCCTGCCGCCTTTTTAACCGCTTTTCCGTGTTCCGGGCTCCGTGTTCCGTGCTTCGTGTTCCTTGTTCCGTTCCGCTGCTGGTAGGGCGGAGGAGCGGGGCTTTTCTTTTATTGCAACTTCTGAAACGGGGGCCCTGGCCTGGATGGACGGACCAAGGATGCTGTCGAGTCATAAATTTTTGTTTGTGTTGAAAATTGCATTTGCCTTTTACTTTGTGTCGAGGTTGAGGCGGGAGAAAGCACCCAGAGAAAAGAAAGAAAGAGAGACCGAACGGCAGAGGGAGAGAGCGAGAGCGAGAGAGATTGAGCTTACCCGGCAGCCATATTGGATGCTCCTAAAAGCAGGCAACGTAAAACGTGAAATTTGTTGCAACGCTTGATAATCAAGTTAGCGATGGGCGTGTCCACGCCCCCACACTGCCCCGGGGCAGTGGTAGTGGCAGTGGCAATGGCCACCTCCCCGCACCCGCCCACCCTTTGGGTGCACTCAAATTGAACAGGCTTTTGTGCTCGATTTCTGTTTTTCGCCTTCACTTTATCGTTGAAATAAATTTAAGCCGATGATTCCGATTCCCATTCCGATTCCTCTTTAGCGATTTTCATACCATACCATCCCGATTTTGATTTAGATTTTGATGTTTTTTGCTCCCATTCTGTTTACTTGCAGATGTCGGCGGCCGCGGCAGCGGGTGGCAAAGGCACTGCCATGGATGTGGATGTGGTGCAGGCAGCTGGAAATCAAAGCCCAATTGGCACAAACACGCGGTAAATAGAAATCGCAATCGAGGCTTGCAATTGAAAATAGAAATTCGCATTCAAATGCAAATAGAAATAGAAATAGAAATTGCCACGAGACCCCAAACAACAAACAGGGCGAAAAAAACAACTAAAATACCCATAAAATAACACAAAAACAAAGAGAGAGAAACAGTAAGAGAAAATTGGAAGAGAAACAGCAGCTGCTGCTGCTGCCGGTTCTGCTGCTGCAGCAAATAACTGAACCACAACGACAAAAACAAAAGCAAAAACAAAGGACAACAACAATATGGAGAAGCTACTGCTATCGCCGACGCTGTTTGTCATTTTGATAATGGCCACAAAATGCGGCAATGCCGTTGCACAGAATCAGCATCACGGTAAGTGGGCAAAAACGGGTGTAATGGGTACTGCAGAAGCCAAGCTGGAGCTTCTATCGTTCACGAGATGAAAATTAGGTTGTACGCTTTAATGAGTAGATCACATGCTCAGGCTTAGAATTAGCAAAGTAACCCCAGAAACTTTTTAAAAATTCAAAAACCTCTGTTTGGTGACTTACCGAGCTTTCATAATTTTCACGGGGCATTTAAAGCACCCATATGAAAAAATATTAATGGTTTGAAAAGGGAATTGTCTAATCTTTCATAGGATTTTTTATTCATGTCGATACAATGGCTGTAACTGAATTTACAACGAGGCCAAGTTGATGTTTTCTACCATTTTAAATGTTTCTTTATCTATACAAAAATGAAAATAAATGAAGAGATATATAGATTATTATTTGTATCAGTTTATCAACCAAATCCCATACTATACCCCCACAGAGAGCAACTCCCAGTTGGATCCCGACCCAGAGTTCATTGGCTTCATCAACAATGTGACCTATCCGGCTGGACGGGAGGCCATACTCGCGTGCTCCGTACGAAATCTAGGCAAGAACAAGGTAAGCTTCGAATATCTCTGTAGAGTTTCCAGGGCATTTATGATGTACTCCAAACAGGTGGGCTGGTTAAGGGCCTCCGATCAAACTGTGCTGGCCCTGCAAGGCCGCGTGGTCACCCACAATGCGAGGATCAGTGTCATGCACCAAGATATGCACACGTAAGTTGTTGAAGAGATTCCTTTGACATGGATTACCTATATTCTTTGGACCACTTCCAGATGGAAACTGAAGATCAGCAAGCTGCGTGAGAGCGATCGAGGCTGCTATATGTGCCAGATCAACACGAGTCCCATGAAGAAGCAAGTCGGATGCATCGATGTGCAAGGTTTGTCTTGCCACGAGACAATTTCTCTCATATAGCATATGTTAATGACCCACTGCTTCTATAATAGTGCCTCCCGACATAATCAATGAGGATTCCTCCGCTGATATGGCCGTGCAGGAGGGCGAGGATGCCACGCTCACCTGCAAGGCCACTGGCAATCCTCTGCCCCGCGTTATCTGGCGACGGGAGGATGGCGAAATGATACTCATACGAAAGCCAGGCAGTCGCGAGCTGATGAAAGGTCTGTACTCTAGTCTTGTATTTGATATGTTGATACATTTGGACGATGTTTCTTTAGTGGAGTCCTATAATGGCTCTTCTTTGAGATTGCTTCGTCTGGAGAGGCGCCAGATGGGCGCCTATCTGTGCATTGCCTCCAATGATGTACCACCGGCAGTCAGTAAACGCGTATCGCTCAGTGTGCAATGTAAGTAGTCGATTATTTATTGATTTAATGGAATATATCGATATTTATCAATTAAATATTGCGATAACAATACAATTTCCCTGTTCTCCACTACTCTACAGTTGCGCCCATGGTGCGTGCCCCCAGCCAACTGCTCGGCACGCCGCTGGGCTCCGATGTGCAGCTGGAATGCCAGGTGGAGGCCTCGCCCTCGCCCGTCTCCTACTGGCTGAAGGGGGCGCGGACCTCGAATGGGTTCGCCAGCGTCTCCACAGCGAGTCTGGAGTCTGGGTCGCCAGGACCCGAAATGCTGCTCGATGGGTAAGGAACTGCCAACATTTGTGGGGCTTGTACCACCTCCTCCTCCTCCCCTCTCCATTTTGCAGGCCCAAGTATGGGATAACGGAGCGGCGCGATGGCTATCGCGGGGTCATGTTGCTGGTGGTGCGTTCCTTCTCGCCCTCCGATGTGGGCACCTATCACTGCGTCAGCACAAACTCGCTGGGCCGTGCCGAGGGCACACTGCGGTTATACGGTGCGTATACGCAATCTCTGCCCAGCGGTGGCCAATGTCCCTTACTCATTTGTGGTCGTGGTGGTCCCTTGGGGTCGTATATACTTTGTAAATTGCAGAAATCAAGCTACATCCTGGTGCCGCGGCCAGCAACGATGATCATCTCAATTTCGTTGGAGGTAAGAGAAGAATGGAGTGCCCCATTCGAGGGAGCTATGGCTTATCTGTGTCTCTGTCTCTCCCTCTGCGGCAGGCCTCGAGGATGCGGCACGGAGTGTGGCCACCAGGAGGCACACAACGTGGCAGCCGCTGTGGATGCTGATGCTGATGCTGCTGCTGATGCCGCTGCGACAGCGGCCTGGAGGAGCGTGATATCAAAACTGAAGAAGAGCCGGCAATCAAGTATTCCTACACGATTCCCTCGGACATCGACATCGACATCGACTACAACATCGACATCGATATCTATATCGCCTGCATTCTTGTTGTTTCTGTAACCGTTTCCATTTGCGTTCTGCGTTTGCGTTTGCGTTAAATCTCCCCTTAGTGTATATCCTCGCCACATACATATATATATGTATATGTACTGCCAAGGGCGCCGTCCTGCGCCAGATATCATTTGCATACGTATCAGGAATCGCGTTGTTCCCACCATTACCACCAACAGACCCCGGCCCTGGTCCTGGCTCGGATAATATCAAAGTGGACGATTGCATAGCCCCAGACCCAGCCACAGCCACAGCCACAGCCCATTCCCCCGAACATAATGTTACATTGCATATAAATTAAATATGAATACTATAAAATAGTGCATAAAATTTATTATCATAATATAAATAACGACAAAATTATTGAATAAATTATCGCAAAACAAAATAAAAAAGCAAAAAAAAAAAACAAACAGTGAAACAAAAAGAAAAAGCTGAATGGAATTGTGTTTTCCCTCACTTCCGACAGGGTTTCCTGCGCCACTGGCCTCCTGACCCACTGATCCATTTGCTGGCCACTGTTTTTGGGTGGGAGAAATGCAGGCTCATGAGAGTTCCATTTAAGAAGAGTCGCCTATATCTTACCCCATCGGGTGCCGAGCAGCACGGGGCAGGCAGCATGCAGCGCTCTATAGTCACAGTTTCCGGCGTTATTCGCATTGTGCCAGACCAGGGCGGAGCCTCGATTGGGCCTGATGCCCAGGCCCAGAGCGGGAAAGGATGTAAAGCCGCCCAGGCGCACATCACTGAGCTGTAGAAAAATCAAAGGTTTCAATGGAAAATGAATGGACAGTTCCGGACTCACGTATAGTAGAACGGTGGCCAGGCGGTACTCCTTGGGATAGGGCTCCACGTGCGTCTTTTGGGGATGGATTTCAGTTAGAAGGATCGACAGCCAAGAGCCGGACACGTACCTGTGGCTGTTCGCAGTCCACGTGGATATAGTACTGCCCCCCAATGCCGTAGTTCAGGATTCTCAGCGGCTCGCTTTCCGCCAGATCGAGTCCTGTGATATCCTCGAGTCGCCGATGGAGCTGCTCCACAGTGGGCGTGGCATTCGCCGCCACCGACGCACTAGCAAATGTACGGATCTTGTCGTACTGGTGGCCCCGTTGGCGCTGCAACTGGGACTCACTGAGGAGCATCAGATGCCGCTGCTCGGCGGCAGAGACCACCTCGTGGTAGAGGGCCACAAGGGGATCCCGGCTGAGCAGCTCCATCCGAAGCGGGGCTAGGCGCAGGAATGCGGATCCCTCTGCAGAGTAGTGGCAGCGCAGCGAGGATTGCACTGGCAGCCGACTCCTGCCCTGGCAGTTGCGCTGGTGCACAAAGTGGTAGCCCAGATTATCGGCGAGATGGCGAGCGATCTCCACGTCCTCGGACTCGCTGGCCCCCTCCACCGCCTTTGTAAAGGCTGCGTGGCTTCCTTGGAGATCATCTGGCGAGAGAGGAGCTTAGACATTAGGGAGCTCAAACGATGGTGGGACTCAAAGTACGTGTCGAGATTAGCGTCAAGCCCAACTGCTGCCAGATCTGGGAGCGTCCCACCTGCAGGAGCCTGTGAATGGGCTCCCACTTGTCTTCGTACTGCTCCAGGGCCACTTCCAGCCACTTGCCAGACAGGCGGCCCTTCTGCAGATCCTCCAGATGGACGCCCAATGCCAGGCAATCTGCGGAGTTCAACCTGGAACTGAAAAAAGGGGTTTTAATGTGTGGGGCTCGGATGTGGCTTGTCCCTGCGCACTTGTAATGCTTGTGCCGCAGTTTTCCACGTGCCATGTCTCTCTCATCCAGATCGTAGATCTCCTGAATGCGCAGCAAGCCATCGGCAGCCTCCTTGAAATCCATTGGGCTGATCCCACTCAGATCGAAGTCCGCCAGCTGCTGTAAGGGCTCTACAAACAGGAACGTAGAGCCATCTGTTAGCACCTCTGGAGGAGATCATCCTAGCGACAGTTTCTCACCCTGCCCAACCTCGAGGCGGGCAAAGTCCAGCCACTTCCTGGCGTCCACGTGCATCCTCCTGATCAGAGGCAGACTCCTCAAGGGATTGGCCACATAGCTGACGGGATCTGCTCTGGCCTCCACTCTTCTGGCCATCCACTCGGCCTGCAGCCTGGAAGAAAGGATCTGCGGATAGAGCAGATTGTATAGGCCCCAAAACACTTTAACCTACGCTCTCATCGTGTCCACTTTCTGCTGCAGCTCCACCGCATACTGACGCACAGTCGCCAGCAGTTCGTCCTCCACCTGGAGCAGGAAGGCCAGGTGCCGTGTCGATGTGGCATAGTGCTGCTCCTCCCCAGCCCCAAGGCCCAACCACAGAAGCAACCAGTACGGAGAGATCATTCTCACTGCCAGCATCTTGGAGGGCTAGGCTCTAATGTGTCTGTTCCATCTGTGGCAGATCGATTGGCCAAGACGGATACGGTTGATTACGCTTCCGAGTGGATGTGGGTGAACCATTCTGTACCCTATACCTCGAGGAATACTCTGTACAACAAGTTTGGAACTTTGCATCTATGGAATTTCGCTAGAAAAACGAAGTAATCGTGAAGGTCGACAAGGTGAAAATTGTGGTCTGCGATGGCTAGAGGGAAGAAACAAGCAATGATTGTTCAATGAAGAAAATGCAATCAATGCAAATGTCTCTTTAAGAAGCAGTCTTATACAGTCTTTCAGTGTTGGATTCCTCCAAGATTACAGAAAGAGAGGTGTTCGTACATCTGATTTATTCTAGTCTTTCTTTCACTCTACTTACCAGTTTCTTCCTTCGGTTCTTTGTCCTTCCTATTGTATTATTACTGCTTGGTTTGCATTTTAAATTATTTTCATTGAACTTATTAACACTTTGCACGCGCTTCAGCAACTTCCAGGGATGCACTTCAGAAAATCGATGCCTTTGTATCGATTCCGTAAAAATGACTTTTAGAAAATGACTTCAGAAAAAAAATGCTTGTCATAAAGAAAGAAGCACATGAAGAAATCGAGTCAGATCCTACATATGAGGCTGAGATATAATTAATTTTTTAGTTCAATAAAAAAGGGAAAGAAAATACTTGTAAGTACACTATTGTCGAGCCTTTCAGCCATTTGTTTCAGCTTAATTCCTAGCCAAAAGCGAGCAGCTGCTGAAACAAATATCTAAAAAAAAGAGGAGACAGATAATACATGTAAGTACGCTATTTGTTTCCTATTGATAAAATGTTTTAGTACGAATGGGAAGAGAATAAAATCTTATTTTTCTACTGTCGTTTTTCAGAAAATGAATGACAAGCAAAACGATGACTTTGAGCGCGCTTTGGCGGTGCTCACAAGCCAGGTCGACTTGTCGATGGTTCCGCCACGGAGTGAGCCCAAGGTCGAGCCGGTGAATGGGATCGTGCAGCCGGCGGTGATGCCGCCCCCCCATCGCAAGGGAAGGAACACCAATCTGCTGTTGAAGCTAAGGACCGCGGTGAACGTGATGTTGCGCGACAAGTCCTCCGTCCACTTTCGACATCCCGTGAACGCCGTGAAGCAAGGCATATATGACTACCACGAAAAGATCCATAGGCCCATGGATCTGAACACCATCAAGAAGCGGCTGGAGTACTCGTACTACTGGTGGGGGGCGGATCTTCTGGAAGACATCAGATTAATTTTCGATAACTGCAAGACCTACAACAGTCCGGATTCGCCCGTCTTCCGGGACGCCGTCACCCTGTGCGAGCTATTCTGGTTGCGCATGGAGAAGCTGCAACCGGAACTGCATAGCGAGATAAAGGTGGAACCCAAGCCGAAGCGCCAGCTAAAGGCTGCCTGTCGAAAGCCTCCGGTTGCAAAGGTCCCGGTCCAGACCGTGACTAAGGTGGAACCGAAGCCCGACGAGCCGCAAAGGGCTGCCAGTGCAAGGCCTCCTCCGCCAGTGCAATTGCAGGCAATTCCACGTCCGGTGCGGCCAGTCCAGGCAAATCGGCCAGGTCCGTGTCGGCCATCGCGGGCACAGAACAGGTCCGTCCCAGCTTCCCATCGTGGCCGTGGTCGCCCTCCGATTCAGCGAGGCGTGGTTACAGCCAAGCCTGCGAGATATTTTGCTAAGCCGGAAGCTGTGGCCCTTCTTCCAAACCCACCAACCGTTAAAAATTACGGAATCCCAATTAAAGTTGAACCGATTGCCGCAATCCCAAAGCGACAGGGATTGGGGGTTGACCTGACTCCCTTAGATCACGAGATCGAGCGCCGCCACAGCCAGAGCTTGCTCCGGTTTCTCCGTGCGAAGCGGGACTCTTGGCCATTCAACGACTCGCAGTATTGGGCGAAGTTTGGAGAAGATCCAGACTATGACCACGACGAAGAGCGCCTTGATTGGGGCATTTTGGAGACGCTGGTGTCGGGGAAGCAGTTCGAGGGCTTCGACTGGTTCCTGAGCAAGATTCACCGGATGCTGGAGAACGCAATGTCTTGCTTTGTCTTCAACCCGTCGGTCCGCACATCGACCCAAAGGATCCACGCAACTGTCGACAAGGTGATACCCCAATATATGGAACGGATGGTAGGCGCAAAAGAGAGGGCTCATGAGGGGGTGCGTGCGAAACTTGAAACCATGACCTCTTCTCAAAAAGCTGACCTCTTCAAATAACCAAATTATGCTTTGATTGTTTATCACGTTAACAAATATTCAAGTGCAGAAAAACAATCCACAGAACTGACAGACATTTGAATAACGTTTAGGAAGCGCCCTCTCGCGTGTTTCTTCTAAACTACAGCGCGTCAACCTATCGGTAGCTTGCCAGTCTTTCAGTCGTACAAATTTCATGAAATCCATTCACTTTACAGCGTTAAATTGTACGATAAATTCATCGGCGAATATATTATTCTATAACTCATAATACATCCATGTCGTACTCACTTCTTGTTGGAAGTCTGCATTTTATTTCGAATCTGGCGGGCAGGCACCGATGAATGACGTTGAATGATACGATTACGTTAAAAGTGTGACCACCGGGATCGAGATATATTTACAAGACCCTAATCCAAAACATAACTATCTGAGATCATTTCTATATTAATTGCGATTTAAAACATCTTGGAAAAACCGTTTCTTCATATATACCAACGAAATAGGGAATACCTGTGCCCAAACTCCGGTTGACGTGACTGTTTTTTTGTTGACCTTTTTTGCTTAAACCTTGTTTTATACACTATACAATAAAAGAGAGTACTTAAAAGTAGCCAATCAGGTAGAAAATTTATTCATTAATCGGGTAAAATTACGTGGGCAGGGCTGAGAGGTCTATATAGCCAGTAATACTCGACGGAATATCAAAAACGAGGAATATGTATAGTAGAACTGGAATTCGTCAGTATATTTATGGTATATTTTTCAAGTGAGACCGTATATTTTGGTGCTGTTCTGAGGGTCATACTGTAGAAATACTGGCTTTCGCCGCGCTCCCATGTGGTGTTTTTTAGTGCCAAATGGTATTTTTGTCATCTATTAATTTAATTTTCAATTTTATATAAAAATCCAATAAATGCAAGTATTTCGAATAGGCCAATCATGTATAGAATTGATTCATCAAACGTATAAAATTGAGTGGGCATGGCTAAATGTTCTATATAAATAGTATTATTCAACGGAACAAAGAATATGAGGAATTGGTCGTTTTTTGAATCGAATTTGAATTCGCCGCAGTTCGCTTTAGCAACAATGAGTCTCATTCCATACACAATGTTGCGGCAACATTTACTTGAAAACCGTGTTTTAGTCAAAATACAATAAAAGCAAGGACTAAAAACTAACCAATTGTGTAGAAAATTGATTCATTAATCGTATAAAATTATGTGGGCATAGATAACGGCCCGGTTGACAACATTTAAATCCTTGTCGCTCACATTCAAAAAAGTTCGATTTGGCGCGCGCTACTCGGTATATTTTTCAAATGAGACCGTATATTTCGGTGCTGTTCTGAGGGTCATACTGTAGAAATACTGGTTTTCGCCGCGCTGTCATGGTATTTTTGTCAATTTTCATTAATCTATTAATTTAATTTTCAATGTTATATAGAAATCCAATAAATGCAAGTATTTCGAATAGGCCAATCATGTATAGAATTGATTCATCAATCGTATAAAATTTAGTGGGCATGGCTAAATGTTCCATATAGATAGTATTATTCAACGGAACAAAGAATTGGTCGTTTTTTTTAATCGAATTTGAATTCGCCGCAATTCGCCGCAGTTCGCCGCATTTCGCTTTAGCAACAATGAGTCTCGTTCCATACACAATGTTGCACATTCCATACACACTGTTGCGGCAACATTTACTTGAAAACCGTTTTTTGGTCAAAATAAAATACATAAAGGTAATTAAAAGAAGCAATCTTGTAGAAAATGCATTTATCTATGGGATAAAGCTAAGTGGGCATCTATAGCCTGAAATATAGACAATACCCGATTCGCCGCAGTTTCGCTATTGCAACAATGAGTCTCATTCCATACACCAACATGTTGCTAATTCCATGCACACATACCCTGGGGGTAATGGATGTTATAGAATCGTGAATACGTTTGTCTTCCAAGGCTCAGGATCGAGATAAATATATACACGATACTAATAATACACATGAATAAGTCAAAAACATATCAATTTGAGAAAAGGTCTTGATAAATTACGTTTGATCTTCATATAAAATTAGCGAAATAGGGTGTACAAAGGGCTATACACGCATCATGTCTTCAAATACCAGCAACATTGCGACTCTTTTTTTGTTGAACTATTTTGTTTAAACCTTTTTTTACGCAAAATCCAATAAAAGCAAGGATTAAAAACTATCCAATCTTGTAGAAAATTGATTCATTAATCGTATAAAATTATGTGGGCATGGCTAAATGTGCTATATATATAGTAATCTTCCACGGAATATCAAAATCGAGGAATATGTGAAAAGAACTTGAATTCGTCAGTATATTTACGGTATATTTTTGAAAAAAGACGGTATATTTTGGTATATTTCCGACGGTCGGGCGGTATATTTTATCGATAAATCCGCGGTCACGGTCACACTTGCTCTCCCGTTTTCGGTCGTTAAAAATGCAGAAAAAAACCATAATAATTGTAAAACTAATGTTAAATGTGTGTGTGAGTGCTGCAGGCAGTGTCTAATGTTGAAATATAATTGAATTTCCTAGGCGTGATAGGCAGAAAGTGTGAAAATCCAAATGGTGCAGCAAACCTGATTTGTATAGAAGAAGAAGCAGGCATTTTTCCATCGTCGTAAAAATACATACATGCAGACACACGCGCGCACACAGCCTTAAATCTATACATGTGTGTGTATATGCGAAACGCGCGGGCGCGAAAGAGAACACGAGCGTGAACGAGAGCAATAGTAGTAGTCGGTCTTTGTATATGTGCATTTGTGTTCGTGTTTTGTGTGTGTTGGTGTTGTTTTGTGAGAGAGTCGCGCGGCGAATGTGAAAGCCAAAGCAAAAACCAAGAAATAAGTGAACGAAAATAAAAACGAAAAATCGCCATTCGTCCCCCTGTCCTCTCTGTCCGTGTCACACTATTTGTGTATGGTGTTTTTGTGATTGTTTCGTGCCTGTTTGGCACACAAAAAAAAAAGAGTTTGAAATCTGCCTAAATTGGATATTGGATATATATTAAATGCAGCCTCCCTGCCCTCCCTGAGCGAAAGGTAATTAAGAGATCCGAGTGATACGACCGGACTGGCCGATGAGTCAGTCGGTCCCTGAATTGTGCACGTAGATATTGATTTGACTTCTAACACACACACATTTCCATCCATCCATATCCATACATTATCCATTATCCATACATATTTACTAACACCCGTACACCTTTTAGTGAGTAGATTTTAGATTGTTGATTTACCGCTGGAATGCAAAGGTGAAATGCAAATTGAGCAGCAGCCTTCCCACTCGTACAACAAATACAGTTACTTTATGACCAAATCAGAGTTTCCACGGTACTCGTTAGTCGCGCCCACTCACTCTCGCACACGCCCAAGCCCACCCGCAAGACAGCATCCATAAATAACAGTTAATGTGACCAGTGCTGCTGTGCTGCTCTGACGAGCTAATTGTTTTTGTGGTCGCCTCAATTAAAGTACTGGCGAAACGAGACATCAAAAACGATTGCTTCAGCAAGAATAATCATTCGAATGGTTGATATATTATTATTTGGCTACATTTGTTCATCTGTTCGACAAAGTGATCTCTGATGCGACATCTAAGAATGCAGTTGCGTTGCTGTATCGTTTAACAAGTACTTGAAATCTTAGATTCTCCTGTGATACTTGTCTCTCTCCCTCTCGTTTACGCACACCAGGGCCAAGTGTTTGTATAACTAAAAATTTATCTGTTGCCGCTGTAGCTGCTGCTGTCGTTGAAGCTTTTAATAAATTATACAATAAAATGAGAAACGATCACAGCGGCAGACCGCTAAAACGATCGATGGCTGCTGCTTGTTGTTATTGTGGTTGTTGTTGAATAATTACTAAATAAATGTGTATTTTTGTAGATATACATATGTATGTCTGGTGTTGACGCCATTTTTGTTGCTATCGAAAAGGCAAATTCCAAATCTTGTGAGAGAGTGTTACTGTGTGTGTGTGAGCTTAAGTTCGTGAGAAACTACGCGCCAAATAACATTTGAGGCGTAAAATGAGTAATTGCGCATATTAAAAAATGTGCCTTGCCTTTCAAAGAATCAATAAATCAGGGGAGTTCGAAGGAACAGCAGGCCACTGGGCCGTATGCTAACGCTGATTCCGGTGCACTTTTCACGCTCCACTGATCGCCGCTGCAGCAGCCGCAGCAGCAGCATCAACTCTTTGAACACCCCTCGACAAAATGTTAGTTTTCGTTAGTTCTTGTTGGTGAATAAGGAGAGGGAGGAGGCTGTGCAGCTGCCAACTGGGTTACCTTACCTACCACCACCGCACATCACCACTAATACCACGACGAAACAGATGTCCCAACACTCACACGCACATACACTCTCACGCATTTAGTTCGGCTGCTGTTTCGTGTTTCGTGGCAAATTGGACATCTCATCATCATCATCAAACTGCGTTCACGCTCAGCTCTTAATGCTGCTCATTAATGGCCCAGAGAGATACTCTATTTTAATGGCCCACAGCAATACCAGCACCAATGCTCTCTCACACCTTTTGCATTTTATTGGCGCGCACATTTTTCATGTTTCACCTTTTGCTGCGTGTTTTGATTTACACACACACTCTCAAGCAGAAACACGAACGAGTGAGCGCACACACCCCCGCATGCTCTCTCATTCATGGCTCCCCTCCCATTGTCTGTTGGGGTTGGGGGAGCCATGTGCTGCGCTCTGCTCTCTTGACGTTGCTTCTCTCTTTCTTCCATCCATCTCTCTTTGAGGTGAGCGCCAAACTCATTTGTTGCTTGTTGTGTGTCGTCTTTCTCTTCTTCTTCAGCTTTTGGCCATTGGCTTTCTCTCTTGCGCTCCGCTCCTTGTCTCTTATTGTTGCACATGTATTTAAGGCATTTTTGCATAATTTCATACGAATTTACATATTTTATGTAGCTGTGTCGCGCTCTCGTTTGTGGCAAACTTCGATTTTTTTTTCGTACATATGTATATTTGCTGCTCAACTTGTCAGTCGTGTTTGTTGTGAGTGCGAGTGTATGCAGATAGTTGTCTATTGGGTGCCTGTGTGTGTCTGTGAGTGGGAGGGGGTGCTGGCCGCTGCTGCTGTATCTGTGATTGTCGTGCTCGTGTTTATGGCTCTTAATCGTTCGGCAGTCGATTCGGTTTTCAATCGTCGTTACCTGGTCTGCTCTCTGCCTCCAGCTGTCTCTTTCTGTCTTCCTCGGGTTTCTTGCGCTGCCCTGCTGTCTGCCCTCCTCTGGCATGCTGCTTGACTTTAATCTTCTCAATTACTCGCAATTTGCAAGTTGTATGAGCGCGCCTCTTTGGTGGGGTGTTGGTTAGGGGGGGGCTATGTCTGTCTGTCAGTGTCTCTCTTTCTCCCCGCCTGCTTGCTTGTGTGCCTGCGTGTATTCCGTTTCATTTTGCTTTTGCCATTCTTCTTATTCATGTTTTTGTACATTTTGCGCTTGTTTTGATTTCTTAATCTTTTTACCATAATTGATGGCAATTAAATTAAAGGTGTGTGAGTGGGTCTCTGTCTCTCTGTGTGTGCTTTTGCGTGTGTGTGAGTCGGCGGCCTCGTCGTGTTTGTTCGGCTGTCTGCTCTGCCTACTGCCACCGCCTGCCTGTTCGGGCCGGTTCGATGTCGCTGTCGATGTCGATGACGATGCGTTCAAATTGGCCAGCTCTCGGGGCTCGCCGGTGGAGATTGTTGCCTGTCATCTCTCGACCTCTTCTGCTCCCCCTCTCCCCAACGGCTCTCGCGTGACTCTTGTTTAGGTCCGTATGACACTTACAATTGGATTAATTCATTAAAAGAGTACAGCCATACAAGCAATACGAGATAATCAGAGATAATTAGAGGGAGATGCAATTTGTATCTTAATTACTGTTTCTACTATATTTTAGATTAGTCTACGTTTTTGCTGATTAAAACAGGATTCATATGGACAAATTTAATATAAAAAATATCTCATATAATTTCTCAATATCTATAAATACTTTGCATTTCATATCCGAACCGTTTTGTACTCTTCTAGACTCATAACTGTACTGTCAGCCCACGCCCACGCCCCTCTAGTCGGTGTCATACAGATACATCTAGAAAAGTGAGCGTCATACAGGTATAGGCGGTGTCATTCAAATTGCATTCTCCCATCAAAATTCACTCTTTTTTTTGTTTTTGTTTTTGTGTTTGTTCTGCGCGTCTCTTCTTTGGGACCTGCTCGCGTTTTGTCATTTTTGTGCGGTCTTTTATTGATTTGTTCAGATTGTATTTGCGGCTGGGCGGCGGCCTCTCTCTCGCTCTCTCCTGGGTGGGGTTTGCCTTGGTTTGATCTGGCGCTGGGACTGCTGCCGGTGGCATACTATAATTAAAGCGATTTAGTTAATTGATGTCAACACACAGCGTGCTAAGAATTCTGTTGCCTGCCACTGTGCCTTTGTGTGCGTGTGTGTGTGAGTTTGTTTCTCAGGCCCAATTTGTGTGCAATTTGTTGGCGAGTGTTTGTACCTGGTAAACGTTGAGAACAATAGGGTATATTGTCTGTAACAGGCATAGAAATCCTGAACACCTGGATCTATAGGTGGACTCAAAGATCAGTCACATTTTGTGTGCGTACTTAACTTTGTTTTCAAATATTGCCACGCTTTCCTTACGCTCCCGAAAATGTGATAGCATCTAACAAAACATTCATCCCATCCGAACGATGGGCATCATCTAGTCGGAACATCAACCATTGGTGCCTGCCTCTGCCTGCACGCCTGCCCCGTGAATGGGTATTAAATTGTTGACAATTGTTTTGAGCTTGAGAGAATTAACCTTTAGTTTGTTATGTCATGTTATTTGCTTTGTGCTTGAGCTTTTGTGTGTCGCCATTAAATAGATACTAATATTGCAGTTTTACTGTTGTCGTTGCAAATATCTAATTATTTATTGTGTATAATTGAGCAGACGTTTAGACAAACAGTGCGTTTCGGTGTTGTAAGGCAACAGATGGTACTAAATAAATGAAGTCTTGAATGGATATATAATTCCAGTGTCCCCCCTTTAGGATTCCCCTGAGTAATTTGTAATCTTTCAACTGCCATATACTTTTGAAGCGCACTGTAATGAAGCCAGAGACCACATAGAAGGAAAATCTGATCCAAAGGCCATAATCAATTGCATCACTAGGGGAAGGGGGTGGTGTGCAGTCTATTAAGATCTTTAGAATCAAGTGTTTATTTTTTACACTTCAATCAGCTATGCGAATCGAATGATTATCGAGTGAATATGCAAATCATTCATTCATATATGCATATTCAATCCAATTCAATCCGTGCGCACACATTCGAGCCAACTCCGGCAAACGGCAATTAGTGTAATCGCTATGCCAATATACGGAGGAGTGCTATCCAATTAAGCTTAGCTCCGGGGCTTACATCATGCCAAGCGGCCAATCGTCCAACCGTTCGGGCCATAAAGACACTACAAAACCCGACAAAAGCAACAACTAAAAGGAAATTAAATAAAAAATAGAGGAAAATCGACAAATGAAATCACAAATCGCAAACAGACACATAACCGGAGACAGCGACACAGTCAGAGTCAGAGCCAGAGCCAGGTCCAGAGACATCGACTCGCGTACAGTGGGTGGTGCACACACTCTCACACATGCTGACCTGTTTGGCCCCGGCTCAGTGAGGGGGAGGAGTACAGCAGTATGCTCCCGACCACTGTGTTCGGTTCACTCATGCATACAGATACAAAATGTAACTAAATTGACTTGCTGCCCGCCGCCGTCTCCCCTGCCGACTGTGGGGTACAGTTGTCAAGATTGACTAACTAACAAGCAAACCAAACTAAAACCAAACCAAACTAAACTAAAACTAAATCAACCACTGACAAGAAACACCTTTTGGCTCGGGTAACAGGAGTAGAAACCCATAAAAAAATAAATAACAAGCTATAAACGTGGCGTGCGAATGATGAAACATTAGATACCCTTAAACGGTAGAGTGAATGGTTCCTGTGGGAATAGCACATATGATTGTGCAGGATTGTGTGGAATGATATCTGTTTTGTGATGTTTGTTGGAAAATCAGAACCATGAAAGTGCTGAACCTTATAGAGAGCCTTGACTACTGGGGTTTCATCTAAAACATCGAACCTGACGATCAGAACTCGTAATAGTACTCTGATTCTGATATGTCTTTCTGCAGAAGAGCCAAATGAGAGCAGAATTCTTGAATTCTTTGAGATTGGTTTGAAAATAGATTGCGGGAAGTTGGGTCATAGTTTGTTCCTTCCTTTGCGTGGCAAAGACATCACATTAAACTAATATGACCCTTCCGGCGAGGGTATCCCAACGGAAAACAATTACCACACTGACTCATGCTCGTAGGTGGGAGGTGGGAGAAAGGGGAGGGCCACACAGGAGCAGCAGCAGTCAGGCCGCATTTGAGCTCCTTGCAATCTACTCACACGAACACACACACGCACACAACCATGCACATCCATGCACACACATAATCATCGCACACCCACCATTCACACTCTCCCCCTCACACGCACACACCACACTCTACAACAAAAGTCAACTTTCAACTTGTGTGTTTGCCCAACTGCGACGAAGCGAACTAATAAATTTCTACTTTGTTTTCTCTCTCTCCCCAACACCTACCAACCCCCTCAACCTCCAACCCAAAACCCCCTCTCAATCATTTTTGCAGATTCAAGAAAACTCTGCCCAACAACAGAGACACAGACTTTTGTGCGCCGGTGTGTGTGAGTTGGTTTGTTGGTATAGTTTTTGTGGAGGAATGGCAATGATGTAGACCAGAGCCGATGCCACGATGATGATGATCCGATCCCGATAATGATTATGGGGATGATGGTGATAATGAGCATGATGAGGCCGCAGGGGCAGACCCAGAACGCTGGCTTCTGCCACAGCAACAGCAACAGCCAGCGCCAGCGCCAGCGCCAGCAGCAACAGCAGCAGCGGCAGCAGAGAAGTTAAGACGAAGTTTTTCGCGGAAAGTACAGCAACACAGCAATGTGGAAAATTGTAAATACTACGAAGTTGAGCGAAAACGGAGAACGCAGAAAAACTAAACGCGCAAAAAGAAGAATTTTCTCTCACTCTCCTCCTGTCACCCAGCCTTAGAGGCCATAAAGAGCGAGCGAGAGAGAGAATCAGAGCAACAGCAGCAGCAGCAGATAAACAAAAAAAAGAAAAAACTGTCGTAAAAAGGCAGTCATAAAGGAAAAACCCACCACTTAATAGTGGCCAACAGCAGCAACAACAACTGTAAGAATTTCAATTTCCAGCAAAAAAAAAAAAAAAGAAAATAGAAAAGAGAAACAAAAGCAGCAGCAGCAGCAGCAGCAGGAACAACAATGCAAAACGAGAAAATCCTGGCAGAGAAAAAGTTCAAGTCTGAAGTAGAAAAACCACTTAAAACGTCGATGAAACGTCTATGGGACAGCGTGACAGAGACCAAACGGACGGACAGGACAGAGAGAGCTAGAGAGAAGAGCAGAGCAGAGCATAAGAGAGAGTTCAAGAGTTTCTTAAAAAGGAGTCTGGGAGAGTGAGAGAGCGTGGCGCGCGTGCTACAAGGAGCAGCAGGGGCAGTTGTTTTTTGAGGGGTATTTAGTGGTAGGAAAGGTGGTGTGGCCCGTCTCTGTGTGCGTGTTTGTGTGTGTGCTGGTGGTCACGCAAGACGTGCCAGCGGCAACGTAAACGCCAGAGCGAAACAAAGGCAGCTGCAATTGCACCTTTAGCGCGCTCTGCTCTGCTCTCCTTCCAGCCCCCAAGGTATATAACCGCGAAGGTAGGGCAGTCCGCGTGAGAGTGCAGCCCAAGACCTGCCTGCCTTACCCGCCCTCGGCAATATACCTTGAGAGTGCAGTCCAAGGAGCGCGCAAGAGTCAGGCTCAGAGAGGGAGAGAGAGTAACCAAGCGAGAAAAAAAACAGAAAGAGAGAGAGAGCTCAGACAAAGCCGAGGCTTGACGCGTTGTCGCGCTTTGACGTCACCTTCGGCTTTATTCGAAATTCGCAAAGCAAGGAGCGAGGAACGGAACGAGGAGCGCGCGCGAATAAAAAAACCAAGACGCAAGTGGGGAACGCCAAAGAAGAAGAAGAAGAAGAAGAAGAAGAAGGAGGAAAAGGCGAAGGAGAGCTAGAGCCGAAACAGGAACGAGCAGAAACGAGTCGGGTCGGTCGTCGCGTACCGAAAGGGGGGAAAATTGACGCATTCCAAAGACGCGGTTCGGTTCGGTTCGGTTCGGTTACAGGGGAAGGGGACGGGGGACGGGGGCCGCATTGTTGTTGTCGTTGCTGCTGCAATACCGGTATTTCTGTGCTGGGTGTCGTGTCTCTCACGTGAACCGTCTCTCTCTCTTCATACAGTGTGTGGGAGCCAGGAAAGCGCCAACCTGCTCCGATATCCAAGTGATACCCCTATCGTGTGCCCCCCGCAATCGAAGGCAAATGCAACAAACAAGCGGAAGAACAACTCTATTATGGGCCGCTCCAAGTTTCCCGGGAAACCCTCCAAGTCGATCAATCGTAAGCGGATAAGTGTCCTGCAATTGGAGGAAGATGCTGCTGCCACCGAAGCAACAACGGAGCAACAGCAGCAACAGCAGCAGCAGCAGAGTGGACAGAGCGCTGGATCGGCGGCTGCGCGGGAGAAGGGCAACAATTGTGATAACGACGAGGATGACAATGCCCCAGGCGGTGCCTCCATCAGTGGAACAGGCGGCGGTGGCAGCTCTGAAGCCACAAACAACAGCAGCAGTGGCGGTGGCAGTGGCAGCAATGGATCGACAGGAGGCACCACCAATGGCAGCGGGGTGAATGGCGGAGGAGGAGGCGGAGGTACGCATCACAAGAGTGCAACCGCTGAGAACTCTGAGGATCTCCAGGAGGAGGAGCAGGATGAAGACGATGACAGTGCTAGTGCCAGTGGCAGCCACAATGGCGAAAAGAGGACAACAACGACAGCCCACTCCACCGCCGCCGCCGCTGCCGGTCCCTTTGTGGTCAGCAGTGCATTGCTGCAACGTGCCCGAAAGGGGGGCAACAAGAAGTTCAAGAACTTGAATCTGGCCCGAGGCGAGGTGATGCTGCCCTCGACATCGAAACTGAAGCAGCAACAGCAACAACAATTGCAACTTAATTGCCCCGCTGTATCCGCATCCGCCTCCACCTCCGCCTCTGCCTCTGCCAGCTCTGTGCCCGCCCCCTCCCCCTGCTCTGCCTCAACGTCTTCTGCTTCTTCTGCTGTGGCAGTGTCTCCCCCAACGACATTGCCACCTGGCGGCGTCTCACCTAGTGGAGGGGCAGCAGTAGCAGCAGCAGGAGGAGGAGGAGGAGGAGGCGGAGTAGGAGCCGGGAACCCCAGGTCTGTGGTGGAATCGGGCGAAGATGTTCCATTGGTAAGTCTCGTTTGTTGTGTGTGGTGGCTGCTCTCTGGCTCTGTGTTTCGCTTTATTTATGAATAAGTTTAAGCCGCTTTTCCAACGCTACCCCTCCCCATCCCCCCTTCTGGCCTCTTCCCCGCCCTGATACCTGCCACAGATTTTCTGTTGGCCTGGGGATTGCGTGTGCTGCAACCCCCATCCTGATATTACCATTTCCCCTCCGCCCCACAGAATGTAAATAAAGAAGAGGGAGCCCTCTCTCCACTCTCCCCTCTCCGCTGCATCGCTCGCTTACCTGCTTAATTGGCTTTTATGACGTTTTAGCGCTCTTTGCAACTTCCACATGTGGTGTCGTGTCTGTCGTGTCTGGGGTGTGTACCCCATTCGGTGGCAGATACTTAGTAACTTGTTTTTAGCCTTAAACCGTAGCCATAGCCGTATACCCCTCTCCCCTTCCCCTGCTGTCCTTACTCCTGCTTCTTTTCTGCTTTCCTCCTTTCCTGCCTCTTCTTTCGCTTGCATTTTCGAGTTTGTTTCCCCCCCATCCTATCTATCCGCCCTTTTGCTTACCTCTACCGAGCCCCGTAGTCAGTTAGTGCATGAATTATTGATTTTGTGGCGGAACCCCCGATCCGAACCCTTTTTATGAACGCCCTTTTCCGTTTCGCACTCTTGCAGAAGCGCAGGTTGAGCGAAATGCCCAGCGAAGGAGGGGCCGCAGAGGCCTCAGCGGCCACAGCAGCTGGAAACGGAGGAGCAGCAGCATCAGGTGGAGCACCAGGACCAGGCGGAGCACCAGCAGCAGGAGGCAGTCCGAAGTCAACAACGGCCACAGCGACAGCTCCTGCTCCTGCTTCTGCTCCCGTCAAACAGAAGAAAACTGTGACATTCAGGAATGTCCTCGAGACGAGCGACGACAAGTCGGTGGTGAAGCGGTTCTACAATCCGGACAATCGCACGCCCCTCGTCTCGATCATGAAGAAGGACTCGCTGAACCGGGCAATGGCCTACTCCCGCAGCGGCGAGTGCATCGTCCGGCCCTCCATTCTCTCCAAGATACTCAACGTGAACTCGAACATCGACAAACTCAATTCGCTCAAGTTTCGATCGGCCCCGCAAGCAGCGGGCCAGGAGGCAGGAGGAGCCCCGAATGTGTTTGGCTTCTCGCGGGCCTTTGGGGCGCCCATGGAGGAGGATGAGGCCGAGTCGGAGGCCGTCACCTTCCGACGCAACGACTCGGAGGACGAGGACATGGAGGAGGACGAGGGAAGCGATGAGGCCGACGAACAGCAGGAGGAAGACGACGACCAGGAGCAGGACAACGACGAGGCTGCCTCGGAGAAGAGTGCCGGCGAGGAGTTGCCCGAAAAGGACTCGTCCTCCTCCTCCGAGGAGAAGCAGCTCGTGCTGGACACGCACTTTGTCCTGCCAAAGCGTAGCACCCGCTCCTCGAGGATCATCAAGCCCAACAAGCGGCTGCTCGAAGAGGGGGCCATCGTCCGGAATCCCACACCCAAGGCCAAGCCCAAGAACTACTTTGGCCTGGGATCGGAGCCGGGATCGTCCTCCTCCGCCTCCGCCGCCAGAAAGGAGACGTTTCCCAGCTTTGGGGGCCTGAAGCTCAACAACAACAGCAGCAGCAGCAGCAGCAGTAGCAGCTTTGTGCTCTGGCAGCCGCGTCTCCAGGTGCAGATGGACACCAAGCCGACCGCTGCCTTTGGCGCCACATCCCCTCACAGTGCCATTCCGCCAACAGCAGGCGTGTCCTTCGGGACACTCGCGTCGACAGGTGAGAGCATCCCCCACCCATTTGAAACCCCTTCTAATCCCTTGGTTCCCCCCCGCCCCTTGATAGGTGCCTCAACGACCTGTGCTGTGTGCTGCACAGCCGTCAGCAGCAAGGAGGTGGCCCAGGAACGCAAGTACGGGATCGTGGCGTGCGATGTGTGCCGCAAATTCATCTCGAAGATGACAAAGAAATCCATATCGGCCAACTCCTCGTCCGCCTCGGCCTCAGCCAGTGCCGCGGGCACTTCGGGCCCCACGCAGCTGCAGTGCAAAGGAACAGAGGGTACGAGTCCCTTGAGATCTGTGTCAGAGATGATGCCCCAACTAATCTCTGCCTGTATCCTCCCCCCAGGAACCACCTGCAGCATTCATTCGCCGAAGAGCAGCCTCCTGAAGAACTTCAAGAAGCTCTACAAGGAGCGCTGCACCGCCTGCTGGCTGAAGAAGTGCCTCGTCTCGTTCCAGCTGCCGGCGGCGCACAGGAGTCGATTGGCGGCCATCCTGCCAGCGAATATGGCGCCCAGGGACAACAAGTCTGGAGCGGAACTGCTGTCGCCCACAGGGGTCGGAGGAAGCCTACGATTCGCGCCCAGCTCTTCGAATGGGAGCAACGGATCCTCCTCCTCCTCCTCTGGGGCGGCTGTGTCCTCCGTCAAGTGGAAATCGAATGCAGATGCCACGTCTGCTCCAGTGTCGGCGCTGACGTCCATCAAGGCGAATCCTTTGGCCGAGAACAATGTGACCTTTGGCAGCACGCCACTCCTGCGACCAGCCATCCTCGAGAAGCCCCTGTTCCTGAAGATTACCAGTGCGACGGATCAGAAGGTGCCCGCCTCCGTCTCCACAGAGGTGCCTGCGATTAGTCCCAATCCAGAGGCCAAGGCCACGCGAAAGGCGAGCAAACAGGAGAAGGAAAGGGAAAAGGAGAAGGCCAGGGAGCTGGACAGCGAAAGGGAGAAATCTTCAGAAGAAACGCCTGCCACAGAAGCTCCGCAAAAGGAAGAACAGCAGCAGCCAGAACAGGAGGCCACAGGAGCAGCCCAGGCGGAAGAGGGGGACACCCTAAAGAGGCAAAGGATTGACCTCAAGGGCCCCCGGGTGAAGCATGTCTGCCGCAGTGCCTCCATAGTTCTGGGTCAGCCACTGGCCACTTTTGGCGAGGATCAGGTCGAGGAGGAGCAGCAGCAGCAGCAGCAGAACGATGGTCCAGCAGAGCCATCATCTGGAGGAGCTGCCGACAAGACAGCTCCCATGCTGACGGATGAAAACGATAATTGTGCCACCTGCACGACAACGACAGCCACAACGACAACGTCTCTCTCCAGTGAAGACACCAAGGCCAAGAATACTCAAACAGAGGCTAAGAAGGGAGCGGCAGGAGTGAAAGTCACAACCAGAAACGCAGCCGCCGTGACGACCTCCTCCGCCTCGAGCCTGAAGCCCAGGAACGGAGACATCATCACGGGCGGCGCCAACAGCAGCAGCAGCCAACAGTCGGCGTCGTCGTCCGTGCTGGCAGCGGGAGTCGCAGTCGGAGCCAGTCGAAGGACAAAGGATCGCCAGCAGCAGCACCACCACCAGCAGCAGCGGACTCTCATATCGATAGACTTTTGGGAGAACTACGACCCGGCGGAGGTCTGTCAGACGGGCTTCGGCCTGATCGTCACCGAGACGGTGGCCCAGCGGGCGCTGTGCTTCCTGTGCGGATCCACGGGGCTGGATCCGCTGATCTTCTGCGCCTGCTGCTGCGAGCCGTATCATCAGTATTGCGTGCAGGACGAGTACAACCTGAAGCACAGCTCCTTCGAGGACACCACGCTGATGAACAGCCTGCTGGAGACGTCGCTGAGTGGCGCCCACTCGTCGCTCAATCAGCTGACGCAGCGCCTCAACTGGCTGTGCCCGCGCTGCACAGTGTGCTACACCTGCAACATGTCCTCGGGCTCGAAGGTCAAGTGCCAGAAGTGCCAGAAGAACTACCACAGCACGTGCCTGGGCACCAGCAAGCGGCTCCTCGGGGCGGACAGGCCTCTCATCTGCGTGAACTGCCTGAAGTGCAAGTCCTGCAGCACCACGAAGGTGTCGAAGTTCGTGGGCAACCTGCCCATGTGCACGGGCTGCTTCAAGCTGCGGAAGAAGGGCAACTACTGCCCGATCTGCCAGAAGTGCTACGACGACAACGACTTCGACCTGAAGATGATGGAGTGCGGCGACTGCAACCAGTGGGTGCACTCCAAGTGCGAGGGCCTCAGCGACGAGCAGTACAATCTGCTCAGCACCCTGCCCGAATCGATCGAGTTCATTTGCAAGCGGTGCGCCCGCCGCGACAGCTCGCGCCTGAAGGCCGACGAGTGGCGGCAGGCGGTGATGGAGGAGTTCAAAGCCAGTTTGTACAGTGTCCTCAAGCTGCTCAGCAAGTCGCGACAGGCGTGCGCCCTCCTCAAGCTCAGTCCCAGGAAGAAGCTGCGCTGCACGTGTGGCGCGGCAGCCGCCAACGGCCAAGGCCAGGGCCAGGGCCAGGGCAAGCTGCAGCCGAAGGCTCTGCAGTTCAGCAGCGGCTCGGACAACGGCCTCGGCAGCGACGGGGAGTCGCAGAACAGCGACGACGTGTACGAGTTCAAGGAGCAGTCCCGGAACGTCAATCTGCACAATTCCAAGGGCAGATCCGCTGCGACGAAGGCCTGCTCCTGCTCCTGTCAGCAGCAGCAGCAACAGCCGCTGTCGCACTCGTTCAGCCTCGTGGACATCAAGCAGAAGATTGCGGGCAACGCGTACGTCTCGCTGGCGGAATTCAACTACGACATGAGCCAGGTGATCCAGCAGAGCCACTGCGACGAGCTGGACATTGCCTACAAGGAGCTGCTGAGCGAGCAGTTCCCCTGGTTCCAGAACGAGACGAAGGCCTGCACGGACGCCCTCGAGGATGACATGTTCGAGTCGAGTCGCTACGAGGACCAGCTGCAGCTGCAGCATCAGCAGGAGGCCGGGCCCTGCGCCTCCGCCTCCGTCTACGCCGAGCACTCGTCCTCGTCGCAGGTGGCCCGCGCGGGCGTGCTGGACATACCCCTCGAGGAGGTGGACGATCTCGGCAGCTGTTGCGGCATCAAGATGCGGCTGGACACGCGCGTCTGCCTCTTTTGCCGCAAGAGCGGCGAGGGGCTCTCGGGCGAGGAGGCGCGACTCCTGTACTGCGGCCACGACTGCTGGGTGCACACGAACTGCGCCATGTGGTCCGCGGAGGTGTTCGAGGAGATCGACGGGTCGCTGCAGAATGTCCACAGTGCGGTGGCCCGCGGGCGGATGATCAAGTGCACCGTCTGCGGGAATCGCGGCGCCACCGTTGGCTGCAATGTGCGCTCCTGCGGGGAGCACTACCACTACCCCTGCGCGCGGAGCATCGAGTGCGCCTTCCTCACGGACAAGTCCATGTACTGTCCGACGCATGCGAGGAATGGCAACGCCCTCAGGGCCAATGGCTCGCCCAGCGTCACGTACGAGTCCAACTATGAGGTCTCCCGCCCCGTCTACGTGGAACTGGACCGCAAGCGGAAGAAGCTCATAGACCCGGCGAAGGTGCAGTTCCACATCGGATCCCTGGAGGTGCGGCAGCTGGGAACCGTTGTGCCGCGCTTCTCCGACTCCTACGAGGCGGTTGTCCCCATCAACTTCCTGTGCAGCCGCCTATACTGGTCCTCGAAGGAGCCCTGGAAGATCGTGGAGTACACGGTGCGCACCACCATCCAGAACAGCTGCTCCTCGACCCTCACCGCACTGGACGTGGGACGCAACTACACGGTGGACCACTCGAATCCCAATGGCCACGTGGTGCAGCTGGGACTAGCGCAGATCGCCCGCTGGCACAGCAGCTTGGCCTCAAGGAGCGACCTCCTGGGCGCCACAGACGGCGCAGACGGATGGAGCGACTATCCCCATCCGCATCCGCATCCCAATTCGTGTGTCCCGCCGGACGAGAACACAGAGGAGGAGCCGCAACATAATGCAGACCTGCTGCCGCCAGAGATCAAGGATGCCATATTCGAGGATCTGCCGCACGAGCTGCTCGACGGCATCTCCATGCTGGACATCTTCATGTACGAGGATCTGGCGGACAAGTCCGACCTGTTTGCCATCAGCGAGCAGTCGAAGGACGGCACCAACGGACCAGCAGGATCGCACCAGGCGACGCCGCATCCCATCTGCGACGAGGACACCCGCAACTCAAACAACAGTCTGACGGGCGGCGGTGCCGGCGGAGGCGGCAGCTGTTGGCCCGCCAGCAATCCCGTGGAGGATGCCATGCTCTGCGCCGCCGCCCGCAGCTCCACCCAGGTGCAGGTGCTCAAGACGCGCGCCTGGCCGAAGCTGGACGGCAACAGTGTGGCGGCCATTAAGCGGCGCAAGCTGTCCAAGAACCTGGCCGAGGGCGTCCTGCTCAGCCTGAGCAATCAGCAGCGCTCCAAGAAGGAGATGGCCACCGTCGCCGGGGTCTCGCGGAGGCAGTCGGTCAGCGAGGAGGCCTCCACGTCCACGGTGCGCAGCAAGACCTTCACCTGGAGCGCGGCCAAGCGGTACTTTGAGAAGTCCGGTGGCCCGGAGGGAGCCAGGGAGGAGCCCGCCAAGATGCGCATCATGCAGATGGACGGCGTGGACGACTCCATAACGGAGTTCCGCATCATCGGGGGCGACGGCAACCTGTCGACGGCGCAGTTCACGGGACAGGTGAAGTGCGATCGGTGCCAGTGCACGTACCGCAACTACGACTCCTTCCAGCGGCATCTGCCCAACTGCGAGCAGATGTCCGCCAGCGAATCGGAGTCGGAGCACGCACACGCCCAGCAGCTGAGCGCCGAGAGCCTCAACGAGCTGCAGAAGCAGGCCCTGGCCGCTGCCACGCTGGGAAATGTCGGGGGACTCAACTACCTGCAGACGACCTCCTTCCCGCAGGTGCAGAGCCTGGGATCCCTGGGCCAGTTCGGACTCCAGGGCCTGCAGCAGCTGCAGCTGCAGCCGCAGTCGCTCGGCAACGGCTTCTTCCTGTCGTCGCAGCCGACGACCCACCAGGCGACGGCCAACGGCACGGACGAGCTGCAGATATACGCCAACTCCCTGCAGAGTCTCGCGGCCAATCTGGGCGGAGGCTTCACCCTGTCGCAGCCCCAGGTGGCGGCCCAACAGCAGCCACAGCTCATCGCGGTGTCCACCAACCCGGATGGCACCCAGCAGTTCATCCAGCTGCCGCAGACGATGCAGGCGACGACGACAGCGGCGCCGGCGGCCACCTACCAGACGCTGCAGGCCACCAACTCGGACAAGAAGATCGTCCTGCCGCTGAATGGGGCCGGCAAACCGCTCAAGACGGTGGCCACCAAGGCCGGCCAGCAGGCGACGGCGGCGGCCAAGCAGAAGCAACTCAAGTCCGGCGGGGGCCATCACCAGGTGAAGCCCATCCAGGCGAAGCTGCAGCCGCAGCCACAGCAGCACCACCAGGTGCACCACCAGCACCAGGTGCACCACCAGCAGCAGCAGCACCCGGGGATCACGGTGGCCAGCAATGGACAGCTGCTGGGGCAGGGCATGCTGCAGCCGCAGCTCCTCTTCCAGAGCAATGCCCAGCAGCAGCATCCGCAGCTGATCCTGCCGCAGCACACCCAGCCGCAGAACATCATCTCGTTCGTGACGGGGGACGGGAGCCAGGGCCAGCCGCTGCAGTACATATCGATACCGACGACGAGCGACTTCAAGCCGCAGGCCCAGGCGGCGCCCACATTCCTGACGGCCGCCCCGGGCGGGGGGGCCACCACCACCTACCTGCAGACGGACGCCAGCGGGAATCTGGTGCTGACCACGGCGCCCTCCAACTCGGGCCTGCAGATGCTGCAGTCGCAGCCGCAGGTGATCGGAACCCTCATCCAGCCGCAGACACTGCAGCTGGCCACGACATCGGCGGCGGGGGACGGCAGTGCCATCCAGAATGGACAGAATGTCCAGCAGCCGCTCATCCTGGGCGGAGCCACAGGAGGCGGCACGACAGGGCTGGAGTTCGCCACCGGGGGACCGCAGGTCATCCTGGCCACGCAGCCCATGTACTACGGCCTCGAGACGATCGTCCAGAACACGGTGATGTCCTCGCAGCAGTTCGTGTCGACAGCAATGCCGGGGGTCCTCAGCCAGAACGCCAGCTTCTCGGCCACCACGACGCAGGTGTTCCAGGCGAGCAAAATCGAACCGATTGTGGATCTGCCCGCCGGCTATGTGGTGCTCAACAATGCGGCAGACGGCAGTGGCAGTACGTTCCTGAATGCCGCCAGTGTGCTCCAGCAGCAGCAGCAACAGCAGCAGAGCCAGGAAGAGCTGCTGCAGAATGCCAGCTTTCAGTTCCAGACGGTGCCGCAGACATCCTCGTCGGCGGAGTACTCCTCCGCCCCTCTGGTGGTCACCGCCAAGATTCCGCCCGTGACGCAGATGAAGCGAGCCGCGAATGCAAAGGCCAACAACATCTCCGCTGGTGGTGGTGGGGGCGTAGGAAAGGTGCCGCCACAGCCCCAGGTAGTGAACAAGGTGCTGCCCACGAGCATAGCCACACAGCAGGCCCAGCAGCAGCAGCAGCAGCTGAAGAACGCGGCAGCAGCGGCGGCAGGGAAGCAGCAGCAACAGCAACAGGGTGGCGGATCCCAGGGGCAGATGAAGAGCAAGGCCACGGCGGGATCCGCATGCGGAGCACCGCCCAGCATCGCCTCGAAGCCGCTGCAGAAGAAGACGAATCTGATACGGCCCATCCACAAGCTGGAGGTGAAGCCGAAGCTGATGAAGCCCACGCCCAAGCAGCAGCAACAGCAGCAGCAGCCACAGGCGATGCCTGTCGTGCAGCTGCAGCAGCAGCAGCACCAGCAGCAACATCCACAGGTGCAGCATCCTCCGGTGATTAGCCAAGTGCCCGCCAAGGTGACGATCATCCAACAACAGCAGCAGCAGCAGCATCGGCCACAGCAGCCGCAACAACTGATGCAGCAGCAGCCGCAGCAACAGCAACAGATGCAACAGCAGCAAATGCAACAGCAACAGCAGCAGCAGCAACAGATACTCATCCAACAGCAGCCGCAATCCCAGCCAGCGATGCCCATCATCACGATTGCAGAGGCGCCACCATCGATGGCCGCGCAGTTCGTGATGGAAACCCAAGTGCTCGAGCAGCAGCAGCAGCAGCCGGAGATGATCAATCGCTTGCAGCACTTTGCTGGGAGCAGCTGCCTGCCCACCAATGTGGTGAATCCTTTGCAGCTGCAGGCGACGCCCTGCACCAGCATCACCATGACGAGCACGAGCACCACCAGCACCACGACCAGCATCAACTGTCGACCCACGAACCGCGTGCTGCCGATGCAGCAGCGCCAGGAGCCAGCGCCGCTGCCGAACGAGCCCGTGGTGCCGTCGCCCACGCCGCCCAAGCCCCTCGTGGAGCAGCAGGTGAACCTCCAGATATCCAGCGTGTCCAAGTGCTACGCCCAGAAGACGGTAGCCTCGCCATCGCCCTTGCCGTCGCCTGTTTACGAGGCAGAGCTGAAGGCGGCCGCTGCGCTGGAGAGCATCGCTCTGACCTCGATGGCCACCATCCTGGAGGAGGACCCGGAGCAGGAGGAAGAGGAGGAGGAGGAGGAGGAGCAGCAGCAGCCCACAGAGTCCATCTACATGGAGGGATTGTACGAGAAGCAGCAGCCGGAGGCCAAGAGCGAAGTTCTCCTGATCCAGCAGCAGCAGCAACAGCAGCACCAGCACCAGATGGTGAGCAATGGCTACCTGCTGGAAAAGCACAGCTACCAGGAGCCCTCGGTGCCCATGGACACGGACAATCCCTACGACGAAGATCTCGACGACGATGAGGACGAGGACGACGACTTCAGCCTGAAGATGGCCACGTCCGCGTGCAACGACCACGAGATGTCCGACAGCGAGGAGCCGGCCGTCAAGGAGAAGATCAGCAAGATCCTGGACAACCTCACGAACGACGACTGTGCCGATTCGATAGCCACAGCGACGACGGCCGAAGTGGAGGCCACAGCCGCCGGCTACCAGCAGATGGTGGAGGATGTCCTGGCCACCACTGCGGCGGCAGCAGCAGTCTCTTCCTCCTCGGCGCCCTCTGCGTTCGAGGCCACGGCCGAGGAAACGGCAGCCGTGGAGGCAGCCGCCACCTACATCAACGAAATGGCCGAGGCGCATGTCCTGGAGCTGAAGGAGCTACAAAATGGCGTCGAACTGGAGCTCAAGAAGCATCAGCAGCAGCAACAGCAGCAGCAACAGGAGGCGTCCACGAAGGAACAGCAGCAGCAGCAGCAGCAGGAGGAGGAAGCAGCCGCCTCCGTGGCCATGGAGGTGCCCACAGCAGCGGCCCCAGAACCGCCGCCACCGATGCGCGAGCCGAAGAAGATCAGCGGCCCGCATCTGCTGTACGAGATCCAGAGCGAGGACGGATTCACGTACAAGTCCAGCTCGATAGCCGAGATCTGGGAGAAGGTCTTCGAGGCGGTGCAGGTGGCCAGGCGGGCCCACGGCCTCACGCCGCTGCCCGAGGGACCGCTGGCCGATATGGGTGGCATTCAGATGATTGGCCTGAAGACGAACGCCCTCAAGTACCTCATCGAGCAGCTGCCGGGGGTGGAGAAGTGCTCCAAGTACACGCCCAAGTACCACAAGCGCAACGGGAATGTGTCGATTGCGGCAAGTGCCGGTGGACACGCCTCCGCAGGCAGTGGAGGCAGCGCAGCAGCGCTGGCAGCCCTGGCTGCCGCTGGCGCGGATGCCCAAGCTTTGCTGGACTACGGCTCGGACCAGGATGAGTTGCAGGAAAACGCGTACGATTGTGCGCGCTGTGAGCCGTATGCGACTCGATCCGAATACGACATGTTCAGCTGGCTGGCCTCCAGGCACCGCAAGCAGCCCATTCAGGTGTTTGTGCAGCCCTCGGACAACGAGCTGGTCCCAAGGTAAGTGGCTTATTCGGTCCCCTATGGGAGGAGTCCCACTGACTTGGACTTTCCTTTGCAGAAGAGGAACGGGCAGCAATCTACCGATGGCCATGAAGTACAGGACCTTGAAGGAGACCTACAAGGACTATGTGGGCGTATTCCGTTCCCATATCCATGGACGTGGTCTCTACTGCACCAAGGACATCGAAGCGGGTAGGTGTCGTGGATGTGGAGTGGAGAGTGGGGAGCCTCATGAAAGAAATTCCCTCCCATTTTCGCAGGTGAAATGGTCATTGAATACGCTGGCGAGCTGATTCGCTCCACGCTGACGGACAAGAGGGAGCGCTACTACGACAGTCGCGGCATCGGCTGCTACATGTTCAAGATCGATGACAACCTGGTGGTGGATGCCACCATGCGGGGCAATGCGGCCCGTTTCATCAATCACTCCTGTGAGGTGAGTACTTTTCAAGCATTGATTACCCTTTACCTGTGGGCTTATATTAATTTGTATGCGATTTTGCAGCCAAATTGCTACTCAAAGGTCGTCGATATACTGGGGCACAAGCACATCATTATCTTTGCGCTGCGCCGCATTGTGCAGGGCGAGGAGCTGACCTACGATTACAAGTTCCCCTTCGAGGACGAGAAGATACCCTGCTCGTGCGGCTCCAAGCGATGCCGCAAGTACTTAAATTAGAACCCAAGGATGGATGGAATATATACTCAGTATCGGAGACAACGGAAACATGAAACATGAAAAAAGAAACACTTGTAGTTAACGGTTATTTGCGATCTATGTTTGATCTATCGTGATATACTTTTCGTTTTATACATACTCCCCCCCCGCCAGCCCCACAAAATAGAACACCCCTATGAAAAAGTCTTAAGTAAATGTAAGAGTTAAACAGTTGATATTATTATATATCCTATATATATATATATATATATACATATATCTATACACGCATACACATACAGCATACAGCATACACATTCATATAAATAGTATAAACATGTATATCTGAAAAAGAGCATGAATAAGGAGCACATATTAAGCGGCAGCAGCAGCAACGAATGCAACATAGAATCCCCAACAATATATATGTATATCCACACCCCAAAACAACAAGAACAACAAAAATAACATATAGAAACTCGATGACGTCAGTATTCAGAGGGGGAGGAATAATTAAAATTAGATATATACCGATATATACTATCTAGTGTCTAGGACTAGGGCTCCACCCACACACAGATTCTAACAAAACACACACACACACACGCGAGATCTATAATAAGCCTAGGATATAGTCGGGTCGAGTTGTGGGGGATGTTTTGGAGGACGTTCACTTACAGGGGCTTTGTGTTAGATTGTACATATAAATCGCATACGAATTATAAATATATACTATATATATCTATGCATAGAAATATTAAAATAAGAATTGAAAACTACTCTTAAGGATACAAAGGATATAACAAATGTATAACCAGATTGTGGTGGAGACGCAACTATTTTATGTAGAGAGCCTCTGCGTATTTATGTTTTCTGTTAACAACTGTCAATACTAACTAATTGATTGATTGGACCACAAATAGTAATCCGCTTCACTCGATATACGGAGTTATACATATGTATGTAGTATATAGAAACCAAGCATCACCCCCTTGAAATTATACAGACAGACACAAACACAAACATTTGTAATTGTAATTTTAATTTGTATATTTATTCATTATATGTATGTTTATGCTAATATTTTTTTTATATGTAAAATCCGAATCCGTGTAAATTGTTTATCCGTACCGTACCGTTTTATTTGTGGCTTGTTCGATTAAAATTATTTTAAATTGTAGTCCTGCTGGGAGGAGCCTCCCGTATATTCTAATAGTTTTAGTCCGCTCTGGTATTTGTCGCGCATATAAATTGTATGTATGTTTAAGCTTGTTGCGGATGGACGGATGGATGGATGGACTGGACGGACGATTGGATCGATCGGATTGGATCAAAAGGAGTCAGTCGGACAGGCAAAAGTTCCATAGCATTTTTTTGGCAGCCATTCAAGACGCGCGCGCACTTTTTGCACGCTGTCGAGGAATTTTATATTTTTATTCCCTAAAGAAAAAAGTTTAATAAACTACAGATTAAAATTCAACCACAAAACACGTAAACGTTCTTTAATCTCAATGGAAAATATAAGTTAGAAAAAGAAACGAGTGTCAACCGTGATTGTCCTCCCGCCTCCAGGCGCGTCGGCGTCGGCATCTGCCGCTTTCGGACTGTTCGATGCGCTGCTTGGCCTCCTTGGCGGCACAGATGGCCTTATAGGCCTCCTTCTTGGTCTTCCCATAGTCGGCGCGGGCATCCCTCAGCTGGCGGAGCAGGACACCCACCCGGTTGTGGGCGGCGTCCAGGAGGGCGGTCTTCTCGGACAGCGACTGCTGCCAGACCATGTTCATCTGGTCGGCGCTCTCCTTGCTCTCCCTGGTCACCTTGAGCGTGTCTAACAGCATCTTCAGCTCGGTCTGCGCCTGCTGGTACTGCTTCATCGCCAGCTGGGTGTTGGCCTCCGCCGCGATCAGCGCCTGGGACTCTTCCTGTACCACCAGTTCGCCCTCGCGCACCTCCGCCTCGAGCTGCTCCACGATCTGGATTTTGCCAGCCAAGACTGCCTCTGCAGCCTTCGCTGCAGACATCGCCTTGTCCGCGTACTCGTGCTTGATCTTGTCCGAGGCCAGCTTCACGGCTGAGGCCATGTCGTCGTTGGCCTTCTTCGCCTCCTTGGCTGCTTGCACGGCAATGCTCGAGGACCGCTGCTTGGCGTTGGTTTTTAGCTGCTTGCGGGTCTTTGGTGTCTGCTGCTGCTCGGCCCGTGGCTGGTTGTCCCTCTGCGGGCTGTCGCCATCGCACCCATCCCCGCCGCTTCTCGAGCTATCCGTTCCGCCAGCATCATACGGCATGAGCCGCTTGCTGCGTCTCCGGAAATGCGAAAAGTCCGTGGCTTCTGCTGTCAAAAAGATGAGTGCAATGATCCAGATTATTAGGAATTCTATTCGCATTCTCGAGCATTTTTTCCACATTCTACTGCCAACTGTCAGTCAGCTGTCAGATCAAAGGCAAAACCTTTCAAATTCTGTCAAATTTCCATTCAGTCTTTGCCAAAGTCCTCAGATCGAGAATCGAAACTAAAACGATGCTCTTTCGAAAGATCATTTGCATGCTCGTAATACTGATCGCCTTCTGCTTCTCCGAGGGCTTCATCCGAAGGCCACGCGGAAAGGTAGGAGCAACCTCCGGGACATCAGGAGCCCACTGATTAATCAGACTTCCTCCTCGCCCCCTCCCGATAGGTGCACAGAAAGCGTCAGATGGCCGAAAGCTATCCCGATCTCGTGTGGCTGGACGAAGGGGGGCAGAAAGGAGTCGGCAGCGAAGCATGTAAGGGTGGTGGGGCGCCTGCGAAGAGCGACTGCGGGCTGGGCAAAGGCGATCCCAAGTCCAAGGCATCCAACATTGCCCAGAAGGCGGCACAAGAGGCAAAGGCGGCCAACGAGGCACAGGGCTCTGCCGCAGAGGCGGCCTCCTTAAAGATCAAGTCCGAGCTGGCCGACAAGGCTGTCCAGTCGGCCCGGGCAGCGGAAGCAGCGCTTGCGGGCAAACAGCAGATCTTGGAGCAATTAGAGGTTGAGCAGCGGGAGGCGGAGGCAGTCGTCAATGAGGTCACGAACTCGCTTCAGAGCACCAATGCGAATGCGGCCGTTGCGAATACCGCTGCTGTCGAAGCCCAGAAGCAGGTGGCGGACCTGAAGACTATGTTGGAGGCGGCATCTGCCAATCTCAACAGTATCGAGGCGGTGTCCAATGGGGCGCAAAGGGAGATGGAGGAGAAAACTCAGCTGCTGGAGGCGGCCAAGAACCGGGTAACAGTGCTCGCCAGACAGTTGCAGGACGCCAGGAAGGACTTTGACTCGACCAAGCAGGCAGCCTACAAAGCAGCCTGTGCCGCCGTCGAGGCCAAGAGGAAGGCCCAGAGGAATCGTCGGATGCTGCGAAAGAGGCAGCGAAAACGACAGGCTCGGGGAAAATCAAAGATAGCCTAGGGACTTTGAGTTGGATTTCGCGTTTATTATGTTTGAATAAATATATTTTGTATTATAATAAACATCTCTGATAAGTCCATAGATCAGCAGGCAAAGCCAGAGCAAAATATTTAAGTTTCAAGACTCGCGCCAAACACACTAGCGCCATAGAGTAGCGGCGGCAAACTACGCCGTTCACCGATAACCGATAAAGATTGCAAATCGCAATCAGATTTAAATTCAAATTCTTAACTGAAAATATCCCTAACAATTCCTAACAGAGAAGTCTGAATAGCATCAGATAGGTAGTTACAAACAAATCGGTTCGAAGCAGCATCAAAGAAGCCTATGCCTCAGACGTTTACAAACGAGCTGAGAGACTTTCATCGGGTCTGAATCGAATAATGCATTACCACAAAGTAGGGATCACCCTCCTTGTCCTGCTGTATGGAATCTCCGGATTGGAGTCCATCTACCTGTACGACGACTCGCCCCAGCTGGATGAATCGGACGGCAGGCAGTTCTCCAATCTGCACATGGATTCGGTCAGTGGCGAGGGCGGGTGCGGGGGCGTGAGCGTGAGCTCGAAAGCGAAACAATGCGGTAACTTTGACAAGGGCAATCCCAAGTCCAAGGCCTCTAACATCGCCCAGAAAGCCGCACAAGATGCCAAGGCGGCTAGCGATGCCCAAATGTCGGCAGCCGAGGCAGCAGCCACCCAGGTGAAGACAGAGCTGGCCGAGAAAGCGGCGCAGTCGGCGCGTGCAGCAGAAGCAGCACTCGCGGGCAAGCAGCAGATGGTCGAGCAATTGGAACAGGAGATGGCCGAGGCGGAGGCAGTCGTCAATGATGTTACGAACTCCCTGCAGAACACCCAGGCTAACTCCAATGCCGCAGCGGCGATGGCCACCGAGTCGCAGAGTCAGGTGGAGTCGTTGAAGCGTTTGCTCGCCGCCGCCACCGCAAATCTGGTAAATATCGAGGGCGTGTCCCAAGGCGCACAGACGGAGCTGTCGGAGAAAACCCAACTGCTGGAGGCGGCCAAGAACCGGGTACAGAATCTTGGTAAGCAGATAGCGGACGCCAAGAAGGACTTTGACGCGACCAAGCAGGCGGCCTACAAAGCGGCCTGTGCCGCCGTGGAGGCCAAAAAGAAAGCGTCGCAGAGGATGCGACGCATGGCCGCCTATCGCCAGTGGCTTATGGAACAGCCGAGAAAGTACGTTCGAGGAGGGGCCAAGATGTAGCAACAGCCGAAAAAGTACGCTCGAGAAGAGGCCAAGATGTAAGGATCACGTGTGCTTCGTAATTTATATATTTTCTAATTTTGTTAAATGAAAATGTAGTGCAGACCTGGGTCTATTCGCTCTCTTTGAACCGGTAGGCAACAATGAGTCTCATTCCATACTTTTAAATTATATACATACACCACTTATAATATATCCGTATAACATTAGTTTTCCATGTGGCTGGGTGCACTTTTCCACATGTTTAAATATAGCGCAATAGGGCAATAGAAACGACTATTCTCTTTCGTTTTTTTGTTTGATCTTTTACGCTAAAACATTGTTTTAGACAAAATCCAATAAAAGCAGGTACTAAAATAAGCCAGTCAAGTAGAAAATAGGTTCATTAATTGAATAAAATGATGTGGGCAGAGCTGTGAATTCTAAATAGCTGGTAAAATTGCACGCAATATCAAAAACGAGGAATATGAAAACTTGAATTCAAATAATTCGTCAGTATATTTACAGTATATTTTGGAATTTGTGACGTAGTTTTGGTATATTTAATCGAAAGGTCCGCGGTCACACTGCTGTTTACCCAACAGCTGTTTATTGTTTTGTTTTTCGTAATTTTGTTGGATTTATGTGTTAAAAGAAATGACAAGACAATGCTGATACGTAGAATCAAGCTACTTAAATGTTTGGGAGCACGCTGCAGCAGCTCGCACTATGTGACGACTCCAATTTTCTATGTAAACGCGGGTGAGTTCTGTGATTTCGTTTCTCCAAAAAGTTGGATAACACTAAAAATGGACCCTGTTTCAGCCCCACACATTGGCCACCTGTACTCGGCGGTGATAGCCGATGCCCACTGTCGATATCAGAGGCTTCGGTATCCTACCGCTGATGTCCGCCTGTGCACCGGTACAGACGAACATGGAACCAAGATCCAGCAGGCGGCAGCCAACCACAAGGTGCCTGTCGATCAGTACTGCCAGGAGATATCATCTCGCTACCGCGAGGTCTTCCAGGCGGCGCACATACATAATGATGACTTCATACGGACCACGGAGGAGCGACACAAGCAGGCTGTGGCTCAGTTCTGGGTAGGATATGGGATACTGGAGATTCCTGGTACATTTTAATGACGATTTTTGATTCACAGCGCACTCTGCACTCCCGGGGACACATCTACTCGGCTGCTTACAGCGGCTGGTACTGTGTGTCCGATGAGGTATTCCTCACCGACTCTCAACTGCGTCTGGACGAGGCCAGTGGCACGCGATACTCCCTAGAGTCGGGCCATCCCGTGGAGTGGACGGAGGAGACCAACTACATGTTCCGTCTGTCGCAGTTCCAGGACGATGTCCGGCACTGGGTCAAGCAGGAGGCGCGCATACGACCAGCCAAGTTCGAGAAGATTCTGTTGGACACGCTCAGCGAACCGCTGCCGGATGTGTCCGTGTCGCGGCCCTCGAACCGCGTCCACTGGGCCATACCGGTGCCGGGTGATGCCTCGCAAACGGTATACGTATGGCTGGATGCGCTGGTCAACTATCTTAGCTCCTTGGGATATCCCAATGAGGAGGTAAGATCAAGCTTGAAGACTGTTGTGATAATCAACTGATTGCGATTGATTTTTTCCCACTGCAGTTTCTGGATCACTGGCCGCCGGCCCAGCAGGTGATTGGCAAGGACATCCTTAAGTTCCATGGCATTTATTGGCCCGCATTCCTCCTGGCCGCTGGCCTCCAGCCGCCACAGCAGCTGTACGTCCACTCGCACTGGACGGTCGACGGTCAGAAGATGTCCAAGAGCAAGCACAACGTGGTGGATCCCGTGCAGGCCGCCCAGCAGTACACCATGGAGGGCCTGCGCTACTTTCTGCTGCGCGAGGGCGTGGCCCACAGCGATGGCAGTGAGTGACGCTATCAAGCAAGCTACCAACTAAGTTCAGCCCGACAGCAAACCGCGAAATCCTTTTGATGTCTGTGGCTTGTTCACTTTGCGGCTTGCCATTCAGAAACCTCTCCCTAAGGGTGGTTCCTTGGGAGGGAGATATGGCCTGCGGTTATTCAAATAGTTTTTCCATCAAATCATCAGCAAAAACTGTTTGGGGTTGTCTTGAGGTTGAGGTGTCCTGCGCCCGTGTGTATGCATATGTGAGTGACCATCTGTCGTCGTTCCGGTTACCTTTGCTTTAATTTGCATTTCAATTTTATGCCCGACTCCCCACAAACTAAAGGGAAAAGTTTTTCGGTCTGGCAGGACCTGCTGCCAAAACTGACTTTTGTTTATTTGCCTTGGAAGTTTCTCGTATCCCGGGAATCTCGTATCAGTGATTTACATAGGAGTAGGAAACGGAAACCCACCCCAGAAGCAGGACTCTCAGTTTCGTAGGGGCTCTGGCAATTGTCTGACGGATATGATTAGATCTGCCATCAATCAGGTTCCGGGAATAGCAGTTCGGGGTTCTGGCTTCCATTCAGAGCTCTTTCGAAAGCAATTAACACACTTCGATGCCCAGAGACTGATTTGTGGGGTGCCAACCTTGATTTCGATGCTTTTTGATTGATTCCCCTTCTCTCACTTCTTTTTTTGGCTTTCAATTTGCATAACTTTCTATAGCCCCGCCCTCTGGTTTCTGTCTGCCAGGTCTTTAAACTTAATTTTCAATTATTGCTGGCTGGCTTTGCTTTTTCGGTGAATTTCCCAGACAGGCAGCAGATTTCCACATTTTCCTTTATTCAATTTGCGCTTGTTAATGATTTTTGTTGTTTTTTTGTGTGTTTTATGGCCCGCTGTTTTGCGGCTAATTTAATTGCATTTTTATTGCATTTGGCCTGCAAATTAAAATACAAAAAAAAAACGACAGTGTGCTGCCAGGAACTGCTGCAGTGCGACAGCGACGGGCCGCTTGATTAAATTACGAAAGTTTCGGGCCCGTATTTTGCATATTTTTGGGGCCCATAAATGATTTGTGACAGGTACATTTTGGTTTAATTCAAGCAGATGGCTGTCCATTAGGTGCGTTTCCCAATCAGAAGGTTTGCTCGTAATTCGATTTGTGGCCTTTAGCTTTCGGGGGGAGAGGTGCGGTGCGGCTGCATCTGCATTGCATTTCATAACGCGTTTGGACAACATCCTTAACCGCTCAGCTCAACTTTTCATTAGCAACAACGGGCGGAACTTGGGCAGCGTGCATGGAAATTGCATTTAGAATCTGATGCAACAACAGCTGCGGGTACAGGACCAAAGTCCAAAGAGCTGCTGAAGGACCTGCGTCATCTGTCTAGATAGCAAAAAAGTTTCACAGGAAATGCAAATAAGTGGAGGAGGCAGCCCTCTGGCAAAGGCAACTGTACGCTGATGCAATCAGCTTCCTCGGGGCGTTACTCAATTTATAAATTTGAATACTTAAGCTTGTCGCTGGAGAATGCTGTTCCTTGAAGTCCTGCGGCGCCTCCTCTTGGACTGAATGGAGCTGAAGGTCGGGCAAGTTTGGTCACAGCGCGAAACGAATTCTTCGAATCTATCAGAAGTCTATTATTATTATGGGTCTCCCTGTACCCGTTTTTGCTAGCCTCGAGGGCAAGTATTCTTCGTTTTTCGCTTCCATTTGTGTGGAACATCAGTACAAGGAGCCATTCATCTTAGCATCTTAGCCATTCCTCTATTCTGCTCCACCTCTAATCCTTAACTAATTCTGTTAGAGTGTCGACAAGAAATTAGTGCCTGGCACCTATACTATGGCCTATACTCGTACGACCTGTGTTCACCGGCAAATTTGCATGACACCTCCGACTGGCTGTCTCCGATTGCAGCAAGGCTGGTTAAATATTTGATGGGAAAGTGTTGCCAGGCACACTCATTTATTCCCCACCCCCTGTTCCCGCCGGCCCTGTCGCCTGCTCTCCAGTTAAAGCCAAAGTTTGCTGGAAAAATATATAAGGGAAGAAAAGCGGTGAAAATTGTGTCAAAGTTCTGCAGGGCAAATGGCACAAAGTGGAGCAGCAATGGTAAAGCGACAAGTTATTCAGGTTATTTAAGGTGCAGCCAGGAGGCAACCGAGAACCGGCAGCCGGCAACATCTAGAGTGCAGCTCGTGGGGCACGTAAAAAAGTATTATTTATATTTGGACTAGGAAGTGCAGCAGCATTTGTCTGTGGCCGGTCGGGCCTCTTTCCCTGTCACGTGTTCCCGTGCTACCGTGTTCCATGTGCAGGATGCTTGAAGTTTTGTTGCAAGTGTTGTGTTGTACATGTGTCCCGGTTTCCCCCACCGCCTACCAGTTTGTTGCACATGCCAGGAACTTTTGCTTTTTTGCAATTTGTAGCTGCTCACGTAAGCAGTTAAGAGTTGGCAGGACTTAAGCGCCACCGAGGGAGGTCTCGGACAGGAAATGCCACATACAATATACAGCACGTGTTGCGGAGCCTTTTCCGAACAATTCCATTAGAAAGCAATACTCGATTGAGATGCGAGGGAGTGTGGAGCTAGAGGGGTGCCAGCTGCTAATAAACTTTGATGCATTTTTCCATTTTCAATGGATTTACAGCCAACGGCAGCCAAACGGCTGGCAAGGCATCAAAATTCAATGCATTCAAAATGAAAAGCTAGCCCCTGCCATCCAATCGCTTCAGTTAACTGAAAATGAAAGGCTACGACTACACATACATTTTGAAAGGAGTTCAGTGCCTGTCGGAGAGTGCCAAAGACGCAAAGGATATCCTATTTTAAATAAGAATCATATGCAGAAGTGTTTCCGTATGAAAGAGGTATTCTCCAATCGGTAGGTATTTGAAAAATATCTTTTAAAGACTAAGAAATCATCTTAAAGTACCCTGAACGATCTCTTCGTACCAGAGGTATTCTTATGCCTCATACATACGTCTCTTAATCCTCCCTCTGTACATGCTGCCTTGACATGAATTTGATTCCAGAAACTACAGTCTACATTCGAGTCGTCTATGCAGGTGGAACTCAACCCGACGACGCCCATTCACTCGAATTCAGCTGACTTTTGCCTGCTTCAGGTGGTAAAACTTTGTTCTTTGTGTCCCCCATTTTGGTCCTTGTTGCGCAACAATTGCATTAATGATGGAGGCAACAGTTTTGGCAGTTTCTGTTTACCCCAGAGAAAACAAAACTCCATTGCGACGTGTCTGAAACAGTAGCTGAGGATTGAAAGTTCATA